GTCCCTCTACTGCGTCAAGGCCGAGGACTTCGAGAACACCATCGCGGAGTACCCCGACGTGTCGTCGTACGTCGAGCGCATCGCCAAGCGGCGCGTCGAGCGCATCCAGCAGCTCCACATCAACGCGCGGCTCTCCAACGGCACGGAGCTCATGGACGCCGAGGACGACGAGGACGTGCGCACGCCCCTGTTCCGCGCGGCGAACACGCGGGCCCACAACCTCGGCCGCACGACGAAGATGCACGAGACGCCCGCGGTCCCGCTGGGGCACATGGGCAAGACCGCGGCCTTCAACCGCTTCAAGACCGCCATGCTGGGGGTCGCGCCGGGGGCCAAGTAACTTTTACGCTAGCTCTCCGCCAACTTGAACTTTCTTGGGCAGCCCGTTGCTCAACGTAGAGAACATGGAGGTCCACATCGGGCAGCGCGTGAAGCGCCGCGCGAGCGTCGCGCAGACGCGGACCACCGGGAAGGAGCACGTCCTGGGCACGGTGGTCCGCGCCGCGGAGAAAAGCGGCTGGGTCGTGCGGTGGGACGGCGCGGACGAAGAGGTCCTCTCGAGCCGCCGCGTCCGCACGTACCTCGTCGACGACGCGGCCGAACCACCGCAGCGCAAGAAGACCGACGACGCGGCCGAACCACCGCAGCGCAAGAAGACCAAGAGCGCGGCGAGCAGCCGTCCGAAGCGTCGGCGGCAGCCGAGCGCGCCTCGGCCGCCGCCGCCGAGCGCGCCGCCGCCTCCGCCGCCGGCCGCGGCCTGCGAGCTCGGCTGCATGAGCTGGGCCGCGCGGCCGCCCCAGCCGCCGCCTCCCGCACCGGTGAAGGCCGCGGCGGCCGAAGAACACCTCAAAGACGTCGCGGCGCTCAACGACGAGCGGGAGCCGGTCGAAACGCCGCCGGCGGCCGACGAGGAGCCGAAGCCGGTCGGCGCGACGCGGCAGCCGGTCGACGCGCCGGACGAGGAGCCGGTCGCCGCGACGCTGCGAGAAATGGACGCGTCGGACGAGCAGCCCGAGGAGGAGGAGGAGGACGACGACGCGCCCCCGGCGAAGCGTCGGCTCTCCGAGGGCATGCTCGCGTGCGCGGCGGTCGCGAAGGAGCTCGCGCCCCGGGAGAAGAAGGAAAAGCGCCGATTGTCGTGGTTCCGCAAGCGCAAGGAGGACCCGGGCATGAAGGTCGAGTGGCACGGCGGCGGCGGCTTCGGCGCGCGCGAGGAGGCGTGGCGCCGGCGGGACGACGGGTCCTGGCGCGCGCTCCGCGACGGGACGAACGACGATTAACCACGGCCCCTACTCCGTCGTGCCGTAGTAGGAGACGACGCCCGCGCCGGCGACGACGACCGACGCGCCCGTCGCGTAGAGCGCGAGGCGCCGCGCGTCGCCGCCGAGCTCGTCGTAGAGCAGGATGCCCCAGGCGCCCGTGACGAGCATGGAGCACTGGGAGAGCGTCGAGGCGACGGAGTAGTCGAGGGCGACGACGGCGGCGACGTAGCAGCAGATCGAGCTGCCGTAGATCGCGCCCGCGCACATGGCCGGGCAGACCGCGGCCCGGCCGCTCGCCA